AGCTCTTTGGGGGCTCAGTCTTAGGGATTTGCCGATAGAACACATTATATGGCTGTCAGGGCAGCCCAAATCGATGTTTGTCGATCGGTGCCGACCCAACATATTAAAGCAATGAGAGTCGCCTTTTCTTTCCAAAGCTTGGGGGTTCTTCAACCATTGTGCTCTATCCCTTCCTCTTCAGGTTATTACTCTCTTACCTAAGCCAACACATCTCATATGACATCCAACATTTGATACTTCACACCCGAATCTGCTGGTTCACAAACTCTTTGGTGCATTCCACGTTATCGATGTCTATTTTGTGGGTTTCTTCTCTATGGGCTGCTCATCTTATTGTCTATGGCATGATCCACATTCACCACACCTGAATATTGAATCATTTTTTATCAGTGAATCACACCCTAAGAAGTAGAGTGTAAGAGACAAAGAGAGAGAGAGAGAGAGGAGTCAACAATACTTAACAATAAATTATATCAATCAACCGACCTTTCTTAAGCTTTTTGGCTAATTTTATTATCCTTTGTTCATAAAATGATCTCCTTATTTATAGTAGAGACAATGCAGTATAATGATATTACATTTTTGTCCATATTTTAATGAGTTATACAAAGTATTTTAGGTAATTTAAATATATGAGCCTATTGCTCGGCTGCTCTCTAGCTCGGTCGGCTGAGCTTGTTTGTCTTTGGCTCGACAAGGTTGATATAATCGACTAAGCTTAGTCGGCATTATTGGTCGATTGTGCTTGTTTTGCTTCGATTTGACAAGACTTGTTCGGTCGAATAGGCTTGGTCAACGTTATCGAGTTCCTGATCTAGTATAGCCGTCAAACCTTAACCCGTAGCGAGGAACTTCTATCGACAAAGCACTGTTGGACTATCGAGGCTAGGTGAATCATCACAACCTGATATGTATATCGCTTCTCAAGTCTCAACGAGGAGAGCCAGATGAATAACTACAAAACTCTTTATTGCATTGTTAATTTTTTATCCTTAACGAGGAGCCTCAGATGTGCTGCGGGATGATTGGTGATATTATAGAACTATATCTTTCCTTATATCAGATCTGCTCGAAGACATGCTACTATATCAAGTTGCCTTCTTCTAGTGGTTGGTTGGGATGTCTATCTGTTTAGTTTCAGTCCAGATGGTTCAGGCTCGTATCTCTTGGTCTTCCTTTTGTCCTCCTGGTAGCTCAAATATTTTTGACTTTGGCTAGGATGGTTACATCTGGTTGGATAAGTGGGCCTCCTATTTTTTCATCATTGGGCCCTCCTTTGTCATACTTTCCTCCTTTAGGCCGTTAGATCTCCTCATGATCAACGCTAGTACATTTTTTATGAACTATATATATATATATATATATATATATATGAAATTAGTTTTTGATCGTATTCAAGTCGTTAACTAACATATGAATTCAGATTACTTTCCAGTCAAGCAAGCCATTTAGATGCTATAGAATATGTGAACATCAATTTAAATTGACAACCCTCGATATTATTAGAAAACTTTACTCAAGCTGCCAAATTTGGGGAGCTTATATATGAAAAAATTATTTCGTGTAGATTTCATCCGTACATGCGGATAAGAGTATTCGAAAGGTGCTCCGAGGATACTTGAAAAGTACTCAAGAGGTACTCCCCTAATCTACATGTATTGATCCCACACGTAACATTCTATCCTATATATGTTCTTCTTGAGTTGTTTTTGAAAAAAAAAGGATTAGGCTAGACTACGTGTGCTTAAATTAATTAAGATAAATTAAGATTCACTTTTTTATATTCAAAAAATAAGATATACTATTAAATAACAAAAAATTTTGCAATAATCATCTCGAACATATATATATTTTTTGACCGTTAAGTCTTTTGAAATATGTATAGTGATCAAGGAAAAAGTTTATAGAGCACGTAATGGCCTATGATGGTTGTGTTGAAGGCACATACTGGCTTATGTATCTTTCATACAATTAATAGTGACATCCATCTTAATTTCTAACCTTATTGCTAAAAGAGAGGAGGCCTAATTATTTTTGTTAAGAAAGTGATTTCGTCTTATATCAAAATGTTCAAGATGCTACTTATTATTAGGCAAAACAAATATTAATGTTTAGAAATAAAGATTAAAAAAAGTAGCCAAAAAGTTCGCCAATCAAGTGTAGATCTCAACACAGGCATATGCGTACAATTGAGTATTTTTGTTAAGGTGAATCTAACGACATCAGAGTATTTGATTTTAGTTATAATAATATTCCTTTCATATAAATATTATAGCTGTTAAATCAATATTTTTTCCTTGAATCATGCTCGGGGAACGGTTTGTAAGACATTAGAGAGAGAAATGTATATTAATGAATAATAATTTGAGAGAGTTGTCTGCCATTTATTCATATAATGATCCCTATTTATAAGCTGACGAGCTCTTGATAGGGGTTGCTGGTTGACTAAGCTAGAGAGGTTTGTCGGTCAACCATGTCAGCAAAGATTGCTGGTTGGCGGGGAGCGATACTGCGCGTTGGTTAAACTTTTGTTGGCAAATGACTGACAAGATTGACCTGGTCGGCTAAATCATTCCGATGGGACAGTGAAGTCTGGTTGTCTCCCAAACAAGAAGCTTTTATTGGTAGAGTAGAGCGAGAATATTAAACAGAGAATGAATCACTGTAATCCAATAGGTGACAATTGTCAGACGAAGAGATATTGAGGAATGGTAGAAAGTCGTCTCATTGATTCGTGATGTTGTTTGAGGAAGTTGTTGAATACCTCTACGGGAATGGTATAATAAGAGGGGTTAGCTTTTGTATTGGGATGATTTCATCATGTGGAATGACTTGGATTCCTTTACGCTTTGCTTATGATCCAACCACTTAGGTTCTACCCACTCGACTGTCTCGGTTAATCTTTGTATTGAAGCTTCCAATTGAATAATTGAGCTCCTGAGTCTCCTATCGATGAGTCATCCCTTGACATGGTTTGTTGTGTCCACACCGTCTGATTTCCTTGAAATTCGTGCTAACACTTTTTTCATACCCAATAGAATATAATAATCTTAAAAACAAATTGCATTTTGATTTATCATTAATTGTATGAAAACAATAAAAAAGAAAAAAAGAATGGAGCACCGAGGTTCTAAAAATCCATGGAAAACATATACATGAAGACAAACAATTGTAAGCATTACACATAGAATTTCCTTTAATAACCCTAAACATTGTCCTTCTCAAATGCTTCTGTCTTTCTACCATTTATCACAACTCCTTAGCTTTTTCATCTTTTTTAAAGGAAGCTGGTAACAGCTCATATGTTGACTCCAAACTCCTTGTTCAAATTATCGCAAGACTGACACGTGATATTCCTTCCTCATTTTACTTTGGAAGCACGATTCCTCCATCAAAATTTTTTTTTTGTTTCTTTGCTCATTTTAAATTATGCTCAGATACTTGTAAATTCAAATCTCTTTTAATAAGTAAGAGGCATATTGTGATGTATAAGTAGGAAGTTATGTATGTTAGAATTAAAGTTTTGATGCGAGCTATGTAATACAAAGGAATTGATTGGTATGCATGCAAATCATCCTCAAATTTTTTTTTTTTTTTGAAATTTAGCTCTCATCTGTAGTTTTCTTAGTTAGTGTACGACAAAAAAAGGCTCTTGACTATATTTTTCGTGGATCTCACGACTAAGAATAAATGAATCTTATGAAAGTATAATAGGATAACAAAAAACAAGGGACTATAGGTTGATCAACCGACCGATCCATAGGCCAGCCGACTAAGAGACTAACTAACTCAAAGGCCGCCTAAAAGAGGGCCGACAAAAAAAGAAGACTACTCATTAGATGTCCGTATATCGAGCGTTAACCGTCCTAAACCCGATTGATTAGGGGTTGGCTGACTATAGAGAATTAGGGGTATAATTATCATTTCACAATAAATCTAACCCTCTATAAATAAAGGAGCACTAAATATAAACAGGGGTTATTGAAAACTAATACAAAATATCTCATTTCAAGATCTCCATCTTTCTCTCTGTCTCCCTTCTATGCTAGATTCCTTGAGTGTCATTCACGAATAAATTTTTGTTCAACACCCTAAAATCAGTGAGTGTGGGTAATGCAATAAACAAGAATAGGAGCAATTCAGGGAGAAGAATCTCAATATCGAGAGACTACATATAACATGAATTGTAGCTGAGAATTTGCTGCCCAACAAGTATGCTAGAAGTGATTAGGAATGCAACCACCATTATATGTAGCATCTCACCACCCGCAGATAATAACTCTACCAAATGCCGAAAGAGTAATGCCTGCTCCGGTAAGAGAGCAGGATGCTCATTATCTCAAGAGTGCATGTTTGACACCACTCAACCACAGCTGGTATGAACATACCAAAGCACCACGACCCACCCAAACAGAGAATGCTTTCTCAAGGATCGACAAATGATTCGCCAGGTGTCAGTTGATTGTGCGTTGGCCAACCTAAAATAGATTATGAGTTTGCCGACTAGAGAGGATCATGGGTATAATTATAATTTCACAATAATTCTAGGCCCCTATAAATATACGATCATTAAATTTAACTTGGATTATTGAAAGCTAATACAAAATAACTCATTTCAAATTTCCCTCTCTCTTTGTCTTCCTTGTGCAGTCTATTTCTCGGGTTTCATAAATATGGTTTCAACAATTATATTTTGTCTAATCATATCTTACTTGCCTAAATTAATCAAATGATTGTTTGAATGGGCTAATGTAAATAAAAAATTTGAACAAGTATTTGACTTCTTAAAATCTTAAACAAATTAAACAAGCAAATTGATGAAATTGAAAGTAATATCTAACAATTCTACATCAATTATAAGATGAAAAGTTAAAAGCAGCCTATTTTGTATTCATTTATATATATAAAAAAAGAAATAACGAATTTGTTCATTGAAATATTTAAATAAAAAAATTACAATAAATCAATTTGGAATAATATATAGTTATCTTGCCCGCTATATTCTTTAAGATAATTCTCTCCGTTGCCGCGGTGATTCGAATGCCGGCGTAGAGATTCTTCTTCGACGGTGAGAGGAGGCGGGGAAGAGGTGTCGTGGCTGGTTCTTCGGGCTATGGTAATTTTGTCATCAGGTGAGGTGTTGGGGGCTTAGTTGATTGGTGACTAGGGAGTGAATAACCTGTTGCTGAGATTGGGTTTTCAACCGGATTTGTGTCGCGCGTATCATATGCTGATGAAAAGGGGGTGTTTAAAGAGGGGAATGTTGTGGTGTTTATGTACAATGATTTGGCGAACAATCCAATCAATCCAAGGCCCGGTGTCATCATCAACCACCCGAGGGCAAGGAAGTTTTTGCCGGGGATTTTTTTATAATTCCGAATCAATTGTGTTAGTCTAAGCTGTAAGTTTGAGAATTTGAATGAGTTGTTTAAGTTTTCTTGTAAAATTGTTGCTTTCAGCTAAGTGCTTTAAACTTGTGAATTTTAGGTTTGCATTACTGATAAATGGTAAGTGGCAGCTTAATTTATTGTTCCTGAGTCCAAGAAGGAATGGATTATTGAATTTTGATTTGGTAAATAGGTACAATTAGGCATTACCACATGACTTGTAATGTTTGCAAAATACTTTGTTTGCACGCATCTTTGTCCAAGTTAATAAAGTCATTATGAGCATGCACCTCAATTGAGTTCAACAACTTACCGATTTAGAACCAGCCTGAACCAACCTAAACTTGAACCTTATCAAAATTGAAATCACCTAAAGAGTGGAGTTGCAAATAAGTGAATCTTAGATTAATTGTCTAAGAGTTAGCTCTAACTTGGTTCGTAGTACTAGCTACTATGCATGCTTGAGGGATTAAGAAATTTACCTTTGAATAGCGATTCACTAAAAAAAAACTTCTAAACTTCCTTAAGGTACTCTCCATTGCAGTAGAGGCTATATTAAAAAATTATCAGATTTGAATACTCATATTAATGCTTAGATTGACTAAGGAAAGCAAATCATGAATTTCAAATTAGGATTTCAATGGAGTTCAGGCCTGCTTTAATTTCTTCGGCTAACACAAAGCTATTACCCATTAAAATAAAATTAAACATATAAGCAACTCATGAGTAGCAAATGTCAACTTAAATAAATTTGGTTAACTCATAAAAAGGACAATACATCATATTCTAATTAAATTTGGGCATTTTGTGAAGGGATATAAGCACCATCCCAATTAGATTTGTGTCTTCTAATGGATGTAGGCCTCATCTTAACCAAATTCAATTGGTTTAGAACAAAGTCTTGAATCCCATCAATAGTTATTCAACCACCTCATAAGTAGAGTAGTATTCTTTGTCTCAATTATATTCAAGCATTTTGATGGAGATAAGCTCCACTTTAATTCACAACTTAGAATAAAATCCATTGAGCTTGTGAAATGGAGAATAAATGTTTTGTGTAACTCATAAATTAATATGCAAGCCTCATTATCAAATTCGGACATTTTATTGTATGCAAGTCTCATCCTAAAAATTTGGGTATTTGAATGGATGTAGGCCCCACCATAAAATAAATTATTGGGTCAACTTTTATGCCAACAAGTGACGTGCCAAAACTTACCGCGAGGTGGTCATACAACGCAAGTGCACCTACCAAGTAGTATGTGCTCTAAGAGTCCGCTATCGATATCACGAGGAAAGTGTTAGCAATTTGTTTACACAAAAAAATCTCCAGTTTACTATTTTAGTTAACCTAGCTCGACATGTTCATAAAGAGGGTTTGAATCCCATGATTCTAGCAAAACAAAGTAATTGGCAGATAACAAAAAAAATAAAAACAACTGAAATTTTTTTTGAGAGTTTCTTCAAGATATTTGAGGTTCGTGCCTCTGTGATTCCGGGATTGTGGTAGTCCTGACTTTCCTAATTTTTTTCTTACATTATTATTATCAATCAGGGATATATTATTCTTAATGCCTATGTCTAGGTAAAAAAAAGCCTAGAATCCATAAAACTGTTGTTTCCTCAATTTCTATGGCATCCTGCATAACTGTTCCGATCTCCTAGGATGATTGCAGAATAACTGGAATGTTTATCCTCTTGAAATTCTATGGTTAACTCTCCGTTTCCACTACGCAAGTGTTAGATGTCGTAATTTCACTAAACATTTTAACATCATAGTTGGTCAGACTATAAATTAAGCCCATAGGTTAAACAACAACATAGGTCATGGAAGCACAAGAAAGTGATAACGGAAAAATGTTACGGAAAAAATTACAATTAACTCCACTGCCCCTACATCACCGAGTCACGGAGAATGAATTTATTCAAGCATTGTTGAGAAAATCATAGCACGACGAACTATGTAGGAATTCAATGTAAGCAACAAAAACATGTAAAACTTACAGTAACTTGTTTTCTCCACAGTTGCAACAATTCTCCTTTCATACAAGTTTCTCACAACTCAAAAAAAAGATGAAAGCTCACCCCTCAAGGTTTCCACCAAAGGAGGAAGAAGACCTTGAGGAAAAACGCAAATTCTCTTCAAATCTTGCCTTCAGTAATTTCTTATGACTCCCTCATGTAGAACTCCCTTCACGGAGCCCTAACAATCACTTTTTTATCAAGATCACAACTTGGGCCATCAAATTTCCTTTCTAAAGTGTTTTCCTGTTCATCAACCTATTCACGCCAAGTGGCTTAGTGCATCATTGCCTCTTCTCATTATCTGTATCTACACTCGGCGCACCCGTTCCAATGCTCTTATTATGGAACCCTCTATCTCCTTAAAGGACCTTGACTCAACTCCAGGCGACATCCGTAGCACGACCCCTCCTCTGCATGAGGAGGTGAGTTCACCAAGTATGGTATGCTCCTCCCTCTACTCTATAGAAAAATGTATTTTTTCATAGATTATCGCCAACCTACAGAGCCTTTGCTACTGCCCTGACAGACCAACGGATCCCAACTATTATTGAGGTTTGCTCTTGCTGATCCAACCTGAAAAACAACAATAATTAAGGAGATGAATGCCCTTCATCGGAACTATACTTGGGACTTCGTTGATCTTCCTCAACGTAAGAAAGTTGTGGGGTGTCGATCGATTTTCAACACTAAATTCAACTCCAATAGATCCTTTGAACGCAACATGGTATGATTTGTTGTCGAAGGGTACTCACAAGCCAACAGAGTTGATTATGATGAGACATTTGCTCTAGTGGCTAACTTGATACAAATCGGGCCCTGTTGTCACTTGCGATGAATCTGGATTGACATTTATTTCAGCTAGATGTCAAAAATATGTTCTTGAATAAAGATCTTACAAAATAGGTATACATGTGACTCCCTTATGGCTTTGATTTTACTGCCTCCAAAGGGCAAGTGTGCAGGCTGCGAAAGTCTTTCTATGGGCTAATGTAGCCCTCAAGGGCCTGATTTGGCAAATTCAAAAAGTTGGTGGTGGGCTATGGTTTTACTCAAGCTTAATCGTATCACATTTTCTTCTTTTGACATTTCTCCAATGGGCAGGTAGCTATCATTATTGTCTATGCTGACGATATTGTTATTACATATAACAATCTCTTAGCATTGGAGTCATTGAAAGACATTATTGCAAAGTCCTTTGAAATTAAGGATTTGGGATCTCTCCGGTATTTCTTAGACATGGAATTGACTCGATCATCTCGGGGCATTTGCTATCTCAGCGCAAATATGTGATTGATCTATTGACATAGAATAACCTTCTCCTATGCTAACCAGTGGTTGTCCATATGGATTCCAATGAAAAATTATCGAACATTCCTAATGTTGGGACTGTTAATAAGGCTCACAACTAACGCATTGTGGGGAAACTCATCTACCTCAACCATACCCGCCCCGACATATGCCATGCAGTTGGTATAGTGAGTCAATTAATGCATGACCCCTATGAACACCATCTCTAAGTTGTTCGCCTAATTCTCTACTATTTAAAAGGTACACTAGACTCAGGTTTACTTTTCTCTCGTCACACCTCTTGGTCTATTGTTGTTTATACAAATGTTTATTGGTTCGAGTCGGTTCATGATCGATGTTCCACCTCGATGTATTGCTCATTTGTATGGGAAAATCTTGTCACGTGGAAAAATAAAAAACAGTCTGTGGTTGCCCGGAGCAATGCTGAAGCTGAATTCCAGTCTATGTCCCTTAGGCATCTGTGAAGACCTTTGGTTACGCATCTTGCTTCGTGAAATTCGTATGCCAAACTCAGTTTTGCTACAACTATTCTATGATAATAAGGTCGCCATCCACATTGCTCACCATCCAGTCCAATATGATCGTACCAAACATAATAAACATGTGGAAATTGACTTACATTCATTAAGGAAAAGATTGAGTCCGGAAAAATTTGTGTTTTTTTTGTGTCCTCCAGTGGTCAACTAGTGTATATCTTCATTAAGGATCTTTCTCGTCTTTTATTCTATGACTTCAAATCCGAGTTAAACATGACTGACATATATACTTCAACTTGATGGAGAGTATTAGATTTATAACGACAAGTAATAAAATTTGGTTTAAATATTGTAATTGGGTTAAATACTCCTTCTATCAATAAAATTATGTTGCTCTAGTCACAAATTTAACACTACCTAAAAGCATCACCCACACATTCCCAACACATCTAATGGCTGCTATAATATGGCCTTGAAATTTCCTTCATAAAAGATCACTACTTAGAGCCTTAGAAATAATATTTGAAGAATACCTCTAATGTTAAGGTGGTTGGGCGGGGGTTGGGGGGGATGGTGATCGAGCTCTCAAGCGAGGGAAATGGGCTCTAGGAAGGAGAATTCAAATGTGTTCTGTGCGGGTTCGGAGTGGTGGTGTTAGGTCATGGGAAGCTATTGGGATGAATTGAAAGATTGGAGGAAGTTGCATTGGATTGGGGAAGGCAAATGTGGAAGTTGGGTGCTCTAATGGAAATTCTCTCCGTGTGTGTGTGAATATCGTGTACCTGTTATGATGAAAATAAGTCAGATGGAGAGTGAGAATAGGAGAGAGAGGGAGAGAGTGATAACAATAAGGTGTGAGAGAAAGAGAGACGGAGAGAGGGAGAAGGTAGGAGAGATAGATGGGTGAGATAGAGAGCATGAGGGATAGATAAAGTGAGAGAGGGAAGTACGGAAAGATAGAGTTGGGTGTGAGAGAGAGGGATAGAGGAAGAGTGGAAAGAGGGAAATAGCGTGAGAAAGAGAAAGAAAAGGGAGAGAAAGTGAGAGAGAGTTAAAGAATTGCTCTCTGTTGGCGCAAAAAGAAGTATAGTTTTTAGTGGCAGTGCTGGGGAAGTTAAGGGAGGCCTGGCAGTGGTGGCACAACCATTGAGAGGCTGCCACATGAGAAATCAGTTATGGGAGAAGGAGTGGAGCTGTCATTTCAGTTACAAGTGGGCTGGGTCGTGCTTAGGTCGGGTTACCCTGTGTTTGGACTTGGGTTTAGGTGTGGATTTGAGTTGTGTTTGGGCTGATTTGATGCAACTTTAGTGTAAGGTTTGGGTTTGCTTGTATTTGGCCTGGTTTGATTTGGGCTAGGATTTGGATGTGGGGTTTGCTTGATTTGGTGTAGATTTAGTGTGGGGTTGGATTTAGACCATATGGTGTTAGAGTATAGGCTAGGATTTAGGTTATGTTGTGAAGATTTGAGTGGTTTAGGCTTGAGTTTGATTTGGGGTTTGAGTTTTATGGTAGATTTGAAATTGATTTGAGATTGAATTAGAGTTGAATTTGTATTGAATTTTAATGTTAAATGTGAATGGGTTTAAAGTTGATTTATGTTTGATTTAAAATGTGTGAGTTTGGATTGGGATGAATGTTAGTTTAAGTGTGATTTTGAGTTGAATTTAGGTGTGGATTTACGTAAATTTTAGATTAGATTTATGTATCAATTTATATGAAATTTTGGATTAAAATTGATATGTGATTTGATTATTGAGCTTAAGTATAAATTTATGTAGTTTGAATTATTTATTTAATTTATGGTGTTTTAAGTTCGAGTAAGTTGCAAATTAAGGTGCTTTGATTATTGGGTTTGATTTGAATTAGATTTAAGTTTGATATTGAATTTTGAGTTTGATTTGATTATTTATTCTTTGTTGGATATGATTAGTTTTAACTTTGATCTTTAATCACTTTAATTTGTCCTTTTAAGGTTAGCTTAACCATGGTTCAATGCGTAGACTAATCCAATTATGCACACCGCAAAGGAAAGGATTATGCTATGAAAGGATTAGGTGGCCCTCCCAAGATATCCCCAAAGTTGACTAAACCAATGGGTAGCCCTAATAATCCTAGCCCATGTGTTAATCTAAAAGTCAAAAAGGTGTCTAAGTCATGAGTCAAGTCCCTAGGTTCAGTGGGTCACATAGAAGGATGTTCAAAGTCATATGGGGTACTAAACTTTTAATTTTTATACCCTAGCCATAATCAATTCAACACCAAATCATGAGTCAAGGATTAAGACCAAGTAAATTTCAAATAAAATGAAGTGAAGATTTGGTTTAAGTTCTAATTTTTAGGTCTCAACAATTCACTAGTCCTCTGGGGTAGCCTTTGAGGATGTTCTAAGACTAGATCTTAGGCTCTAAGGAGGAATGAGAGGAGAGAAAATTGACCTCACAAAAAATATTTTTTTTTGCTTGAGACAGTGATGGCTGATTTGGAGAGTTCTTACATCAGTTAGATTTTATCAAGTCATGTGAGCATTTAAATGAAATCATCAAATAGTTAATAACTATGTATTTTTTGACACAGCAAATGATTTGCCCTGTTATGCTTATTAGTTGAAAACATGTTAGAATATTTTTTAGCAGGCCCAACTTTTATACCTTTTTGATTTATACTCTATAATTAGTTTGCACACCAACACGGACTAGACTTTCCTTAGAATAGTCTAACTTTTTATCTTCCTTTTCTACTTTGAAATTATCTAAGAAAGATATTGTTCTATCTATTTCTTTTATTTTCTTTATTGAAATGTTTCAAAAATTGGGTATGTTAATCATGTTTGCTCAACTGCAGTGAAAGTCATAATTTAAAGCTGGAAACAATGGAGAAGCAGTACTAAACAGGAAGCTGTCATCACAAAATGCATCACAATTTGAATTCCCTCTTGAGTTTTCTAATGTAATAGATTATGATTCACTTTCTTCCTATGACAGGTGAAGGCAAGGACATTGAATTTTAGAATTTTTAATGTTGGATCAAATGTGATGGAGTATGGGACCAAAAGCATCAAAGCTGAGAAGCTGTATTTGTACAAGAAATTTGATCCTTTAAATGCTATTATCAGAGACAATAATCTTCCACAAACTGATTTTACGTCAGTGGTGATAAACCAGAGAGATGGTCTCCTTTTCATGTAGAACATGGTTAGAGCTGTTTGTCTTTCTTTTAGTCATTTCATGGAGCTTAATTTTTCAGCACTTATCTTCTCCAGGATACTTATTGAACTATTTCCATAGATGTTAGAGTTGTATTTATGATCCTCCTTCCTCCTCCCAGATCCATTAGAGGAGATTTTTCGAAAGAGATTGAGTGTCACAACTCGACCCGGGGCTTAAAGTTAATTAAAACGGGTACAGATTGTCGGACGACATAAATTAATTTTCCTATATTCATTTTCTATAATTAATATTTAACAAATGAATGAGTCATTAATAAAATTAAATTATATCACCACAATTTAATTTATCTCATTACAGGTTATCCGCGTCTTCTATAAATATGTTATGTTCTATTGTTCATCTTTTAGTCAATTAATTACACATGAAAAGTTAGTTTAAAACAATAGTGAACTAACCAACGTCAGTGAATCCTCATACTTTTAAACTACATTAATATGAAGGAAAAAATAATACGCGTGTTAGTTAAATTTTTAATAAATCAGTATGAAACATTTAAATATTTATGAATATGATCACTTACGATATTTCATGTTATTCATTGTGTTATTATATTAATAACAAATATCTATATCATTTTATGTATATACAACTGTCATATGAGTACCGTCTAAAAATTGTACTAGTTATGATACTTTAATATCGATATTATTTTTCATTTATGTGCACGTGTACCTTAGCAATTCCCTGCTAATATCATAAATGGGTAACTCCATAATACCCAAGCATACATATGCAAACATACTATAACAAATAATATCTAGTAAATATCTTTTCATTCTCATTTGTATAACAACAATATACTTATACACGGATCAATATCTATTTAAACAATATTGAGTATACATGTCTCTCCAACAATATGAAAAAAATTCATTAGAACCATAAAGTATGGGCATGCAGTGGTATAAATATAGCAATATCAATAAGTATATTGTCAAAACAACAAAATATTACTATAACATAAGAGTATGGGTACTCACTTTGCTTTCTGATAATTTTTACTTATTTTAAAGTTCTGTAATATCTTTTACAATAGAATACCAATCATCAATTATAAATTATTATTGTTGGTAAATTAATTAAATGATCTGTAATAATATTAGGAGTTTATTTAACTAAAACATTTTATGAAATTTGATAATAACAGGAGTTTATTTAAATCCATCACTTAATTTATGTAGTATTATTAATTTATCACTGCAATTTCATATCTTTATATGACATAATTTAGTATTTAATTATTAGGGATGAATAGTTTATCTGATTATCATATTTTGATAGTAATATATTTAAAAGTAGAATAACTCTTAATTTTACCCGAATATATCCTTCTCGTTAGCACTTCTCCCTTACACACATAAATGAGCCCAAAGTCCTTGCTAGTCTTCCAAACATAAATTAACATAATTTCATATTAACATTCTTTTAAGTGTTCAATTAACATAAATTAGATGCATATCTCAATTCCTCTTATTGCAAGACAACAATTCCTTTAGAATCCTCTTTAACCCCACATTTACTGTTATAAATTCTTCTTTCCTGCTTTACAGTTTTGATTTGCAAACTAAAATCCACATAAATTCTTTACATTAAATTCCATTAAAATAACATTGAACCCTAACATTTATCTCAAGTATCTTGTTCTCCTTTGCAACATTGACGTCTATCTTCCCCTGAATTCGAGACTCAATAGTTTCAATCCTGATTTCAAATGCACATAAATTTAACATTTAAATAATAAACTTACAGACACACACACACACACACACCCTTTCATGTTATTGACTGCTCATTTCCTCCCCCTCTATCTGACTCCCTCAGAGTGATGAGGCATCATATTGAGGCCACATATTAAAGTTTATTTTCCATAATAGCGGTCATGGGCATAGTGATGCAGTGATCAAACATTTAACTTTTTTATTATTCATTTTTTTTAAATTTATAATTATGTTTTATCAGATACTTGTTTCTTAATTGGCAAATTTTAAGTGGTTGGAATATTCTGGCTGTTGGATTACTTTGCAAATGATAATTGAGGAGTTTATTTAGCATCACTTTTCCGTACTCTAAAGGCTACACAGTTTGTATTCATTTTTAAGTGCCGATTATTTTCTAGTTTGGCAAAACATGAAAGTGCAAAGTCTTTCCTGCTTAACGAATCGAATCCTTGCCCAGTGCCCGGGGAAAGAGGGGCTTTTTGTTTGATCGCTGCGGATAGGTGCAGTTCAGACTTCCTACTTCTTAGACATGGGTGCTCCACACCCATGAACCACCCGCTCTTCGCTTACCCAAACTCAAAACAGCAGCACATTACTCAAGACAACGGAAGCTACTCTTTCCGGGCGAATTCCTTTCATGATCTAAGGGAAGACGCAAGAGCAAGAGCAGATCCCTATCTTCAACCGGAAGCAAAATACTAATGGGGTCACCCTTGGGAAGAAACCGAGAAAGTCTAGAAACCCGGTAAAACAGCGAAATTTGCTCCAGCCTAGCCTTGAGGTTGATCTTCATGACGATTAGTAAGTTTTGATAACGACTGCTTCCTTTTTGGCTTGGGGTTTTAGTCCTAGATTTAGCATTCTACTTCATAACTAAATGAAGTTTTGTGTATTATTTTGGAACGCCATAAATTAGGTTTTAATGCTTTCTGATGCAGATTTAGGACAAGGATCACAAAATCATGTACACAAAATCAAATTAATAGTTTGACAACTTCTAATTTCGATACTTAATTCTATTTAGATGGAAGTTAGTATATGTAAACATTTGAATAAGAAGGTCACAAGCTAATAAGAAAAAAAATTAAGTTTTACCGATTTTACAGTTAATCAATCACACAAGTAAGCCTATCATCAAACTTCAAGGTATAAATATAGCAAGAGAAAGAAGTTACCATAATAACAATCCAATCTTCAAATCAGTACATGTAGATAACTTCCCAACTTCTAATTGCACAACAAATTAGAAAGAATAGCATCCAACTAACGTTCAAGCAAATAATAAATTATTACTCAAAATAAATATAGCAAAAGAAAGAAATTACGAAAATGGTCATCCAACCCTCAAATCAGTACAACATGATACTTCCCCACATTTAATTGCGCAACACATTAGAAAGAATAATATCCAATTATGAAGATGTGTAGAAGAGTTCTTCTCCCATTCTGTACAGATGTGAAGAAAAGTCCCTTCCTCACATTTTTTTGTCTTGCAGGTATGCCTTGGAGATTTGGAGTTGTACTGCTAAGTTACTGTGGTCTAATATGCCCCGGAGCGGCTGCTTTTCCATCAGGGACTATTTTGTGGATTAATCTCAGCTTACCAATCTTCTTTTTAAAATACTTTCTGCTATAATCTGTTGGTTCATCTGAATGGCTAGAAACAACATGAAGCAGGCTAACCAATGGGAGAATTCTAGTTCAACTTTTTGTCATACACCTACTCATCTTCAAAAGGTGATCATTTATGGTGGGATCAAGGACATATTTCTGGCTGTTCTAAATTTTTGGTCCAAGACCATCATTAGACCTGTTCAGACTTTAAGGCAGCTAACACAGCTGGTTTTTTGGAAGAAACATGAGCTCAATTGGATCAAAATCAATATTGATGATAGTTTTTCTGATACGGTTGTTGGGATTGGGATGGTCTTCGGAGATCATAATGGCATAGCTTTTCTCATGCTCTCAGCTCCCATTGTCGTTGTCTCTCCTTTGCAGGCTGAGGCTGAGGCTGTCCTGGCTGCTCTTAGGATTGTCTTCTCTTTGGATTGGAGCAAACTTCTTGTTGAGCTGGACTCTATGATTCTCTGGAAACGCAGCTCTTCTTTGACCTCTTCACATTGGCATATTTAATCTCCAGCTCAAGCAAATTGGGCAGCTCTCTGATTTTATGAATACACAGTGGACTTATATTCCTAGGGAGGGTGAAAGGCCAACAGATTGGCTAGCCAAAGAAGGTGCTTAATCTCAAATAGTTTTCTTAGTTAAGTTTCCTCCTACAGCCTTGCATCTTTTGCTCAAGGGAGATATGTTAGACCCCCTTCTTTAGTTGTGACTTTTGAATTTCAATGGAATATTTTACCTTAAAAAAGGATAAATATGAGAAGAAAGGATAAAAAAAAAACATGCTAGCAGCAACAACAACAACAACAACAAGCTTTTATCCTACTAAGTGTGGTCAACTACATGAATCTTTTTTCTTCATTGTGTCTAATTGAGTGTCGTATTTTCATTGAATTCTAATATATTAAGATCATTTTTTTATATATGTCAAGGTATTTTTAGGTCCACCTCTACATTTCTTAACATAAGTCATATCTAAAACAACCACTCTCCTAAGAAAATATCAGATGGTCAACATTTAATACGATCAAATTATCTAAGACGACTCTCTCTAATCTTGTTTGCCATTGAAGCTGTGACAACCCTTTAGCGGATATATTCATTTTGCATTTTGATTCTTAAAGTGTAAAGGCATTCATCCACCTAATCATTCTCATTTCAACAACACTTAGTTTTTTGCTTTCCTTTTATAGACCGACATTCTGCACCATAAAGCATTATAGGTCCCACCACCATCTTATAAAAATGTCCTTCAAGTCTAAGCGGCAATTGCTGTCACACAATAGGATTGATGCATTCCTCCATTTCAACCATCCAACTTGAATTCTACCGATAACATCCCTTTCAATATCGCCATCACTTTGAATAATATACCCAATATACCCAATATATCTAAAATGTTCATTTTTTTTAATGACTTTATCACTCATTATTACAACCTCGTCACTAAATTTACTATTAACAAAAATACATTCCATCTATTTCAATTTTAAATATACTCAAATGAAAGCCTTTAGACTTTAAAGTTGACCTCCATAATTCAATTTTTTTCCTCAACTCTTTCTCTAGTCTTATCCACAATAAGGATGCTATCGACAAAAAACATACACCAAGATACATCTTTTTGTAAATGTCTAGTAAGAACATCCATAACTAAAGCAAGAAGATATAGGCTTAAAGTCGATCACTGATGTAATCCAAATGAAATAGGAAAATACATGGTCAACCTTCCTTATGTTCGAACACAAATAATATCTATAATATAAATATCTTTAATGACTTGAATGTAAGTTATATGAACACCTTTTTTTCTAGAACTCTCTAAAATACTTCTCTTGGCATTTTATCATAAGTTTTTTCTAAATCAATAAAAAAGATATGTAGATCGATCCTTCTTCTCTTTGTACTTCTACATCAAACCTCTTAATAAATATGTAGATTTCATAGTAAACTTTCCCGACATAAATCCAAACTAATTTGGTTAAATCTTTGTATCATGTCTTAACCTATGCTCAAATCTCTCATAATTATAATGTATGACACATTAACTTAATTCTTCTATAATTTGCACACTCTTGTGCATCCCTTTTAATCTTAAAAATTGGGACATAAATGCTCTTTCTCCACTTCTCAGACATATTTGCAGTTTTTAAAATAATATTAAAAATTTTAGTAAGTCAAGAAATTCCTAAATCCTCTAAATATTTTCACACTTCTATTGAAATATCATCAAGTCCTATTGATTTTCCATCATTCATTTTCTTTAAAATCTCTTCATTTTTCATTCGTAGCACACTTTACTTGGACTAAATCCTTCCTTTTTTTATCTCTTTGTTTTGCTCGTTTATACATGCATCTTTCTTTCTCTTTCATATCTAATATATAATATAAAGATCACTAAAAATAGACTTTTTAGCTTCACAAGTTGCTCTCTTAGACTCCTTATGGGTCATCTTATATTTTTTTCAATTCATTGAGCTTTTATATTTAAACTAATTTCTATAACAAAATTTACTTTATCTTTTCTTGTACATTATCATTCCACCACCAATTACTTTTATTTATAGAGTTTTTCCTTTTAATTTCTTAAGTACAATTTTTGCATCTTGCTTAAAAATGCTCATTACTTTATCCCAAATGACAATAATTTTTTTATGAATAGCCCAAATCTTAAGATATTAAAGTTTACTCGTAAAAATAGTTTTATTTGTGACAAGTGTCTCCTTCTAATTCTATGATAATATTTTATTGTATTATTCATCCCAACCCTTCATCTTAAATTTAAAACTAATTATCGATGTTGAGTACTTAATTTTTACATGGAATGACCTTATAGTCTTTACAATCTCGACAATATGTTTTTCTTATAAAAAAATAATCAATTTTTATTTTATTTTATTCATTTTTATAAGTTATAATATGTCAATCTCTTTTCTTAAATAAATTATTAGCAAAAATAAAATCATAAGCTAAAGTAAAATCTAATATAATTTTACCTACTTTATTTGCACTTTAAAACCTTATCCACCATGAATATTTCTGAAATTTTCTATCACTCTAACAACCTGTCTATTTAAATATCCAATAAAAATTCTTTCTTAAAGAGGTATCCTTTGTATTAATTCTTTTAGAGTATTCCAAAATTTTTCTTTAAGTAGCATGAACACTTACAATATTAGGAATCTTAGTTTCAATAATAATTTTTCAGCCTGTAATTTTATCTTCTATTCTATTAATTATTACAACATTATCTTTCAATCTCTTATATATAATTACATTTACATCATTTCTAGTTCGACTCCTATCTAAATATCAAGGATTAAAATATAAGTCATCATTCTCCTTAGCCTTTTCTCCAATCCATTTTATTTTAAGAATGCATAAGATATTTATCTTTCTATGAATCATAATATCTACTAATTCCCTTAATTTACTTATTGGTGTACATAAAATTTAAGATTTTATCTTAGTATTAGTTTAATGGACTAACATTTTTACCCGCATCAGTGCAGTGATCCTTACATACTTTTTCGTTATATTCAGACCATACAATCCATCGCTTCTAGGAGACATCCTAGTATTTACACAATGATTTAACGAATTCTCATTATTTTTGGAAAAAAAAAATTACGCTGGCTATCAAATGCCCAACGCAATCCCCATTTTTTCCATTTGGGGCACAGGAACTAGCAATGACAGTTGCAAGAGAATACGAAACTATAACTCAAAATATACATTTCAAAAGTAAGAAGTTATCAAAATAACATTCCAACTCTCAAATCAGTACAAAGAGATGACTTCCCATCATCTGATTGCACAAAAAATTAGAATATATATATATATATATATATGAAAGCCCAAAAAGGTTAATATATTAACTAGAAAGAAAGATACAGATACAATGAGATGGAAGGCCCAAACATGACACCCTGCTCACAAAAAACCACATGGGGTTTCACAACTAGAAAATACTGAAAAGTACATTAGAGACATAAAGAAATGCCTAAAAATGCAGAAATACATAGTATCAGGTGGCTAGAGAGCAACCTAATTTGGTTTTTCCTCTGTCTCTGGTTCTAGGAAAGGAGCAAGCTAATAAGTTGGTAAGATGATTGCCATTGCCAGTAGTAACCAATGTATCATCCAATATGTTCTCGAGCTGGAGTCGGCCTCCATTCTTCTTCTTCCTCCTGAAATAAACCTGTCATTCCTCTTTCGAAGATCGACTCACCTGATCTTGGTCTACAGTGTGTTAGAGATGTACATATTGTTGGACATTAGAAGCAACTACATGTTGTACCGGCTGATCTGTTATTGGATCAAAGGAGCACTCTCGCGTGTCTTGGCATGTGAGTGAGTCTTCTTCAATAACAATGGGTGGTATTAGCACAACTGGATCTGTAGCTGTAATATGTTGTTCTTCTTCAGGAACTGCAGTGTTGGGAAGAGGATCGTGTTTCATCTTCTCAACAGGGGTAGTAGGTGGTTGTTTTTTAGCGATATTCGACCTTAGATGAGGATGCAAACGATAACAAACAATAGAGCTGTGGTCAAACATACTACAATGAGAGCAATAAGGAGGATGTGGTTCCATTTTAATCTTTTGTCAATACCCATTGTGCCTAATGCCAATCCATATCTCATCCGAAGCTGGTTGAGTGATATCTCTCTCAACAATCACACAAGTCACAGAGAGTCTAGTGACAACAAGCGTAAGACTATCCACCTTGAGAGACTTATCGTAAGCAGTTGCTAAAGAGTAGAGGATTTCTATGTTGAATAGATGTAATTTTAACCCCAAAAACTTTATCCAAACAAAAATGATAGGGGACCCTGCTTTTGGATCAAAACAGACAGTTCACTTCAGAATTTTCATAAAACGATTGTCAATCTTGATAGTTTTTCAAGAGAAAATACGAGTGTAATCGACATCATGAGATAGTTGAATAAGTATATGTCTACTGTCAAGTAGGCCAATGTTCTAACTGCCCAATAGTTTCATAGTATCAAACTCCTTCCTAATGATCTCCAGTTTTGGGTGACCATAAAGGAATTTCCCCACTAGAGAGAAACGCCAAGAGGACGCGAGAGTACCGGTTTCAACATTTGTGAGAATAAGTGCAGACTTCCCATTTTTTTTTCCAAGTTTTTTAATAAAAGTGTGATCACTGCCACCTTCAATAGCCTCGTGGTACGATTATGGAACATTGCAGGACTTACCGATAGCAAAA